TCCCATTCCAAAGAAAGGTGACCCAACTGAGTGTGGAAACTACAGAACAGTGTCATTGATTTCACATGCAAGCAAGATTCTACTGAAGATCATCCAATAAGACATAGATCAACAAAATCAACAAACGTAGAAATACTGGAATTATCATGTACTGCTGATGAAAATGTAAAATGGTGCAACTAATACGGAAAAAACTGCTCGTTTATATCATTGAGAATAAAACTATCATTTGTTCCAGCAATCCCACTGCTTATTATTACTCACAGAAATAAGAACTGATATTTACAAAGCAAAGAAATTGAAACAACCCAAGTGGTTCATCAATGGGTGAATGAATAAAAATATATAGTACATTTTTACATTGGAATACTGTGCAACACTGAAAGTGATAAAGAATTCATGAAATATTGCATAACTTGGATGCATGTAGAAGGCATTACGTGAAGCTTTGTGAAATAAATAGTCACAAAAGTATAAATATTATTCAAGAGTGCAGTCAGGGACCTTTCCAGAGTATTTAAAAACAATGATGCCAGTCTAGAGACTAAGGTGTGCCTAATCCAGGCCATGGTCTTCACAATTACTTGCTATGCATCAGAGAGCTGGACAATGACTAAGAATGACAGAAGAATTGATGTTTTTGAGCTGTGTTGCTGGAGAAAAGTCTTAAACATTCCATGGACCACCCTGTCTTGGAGAGGGTGAAACCAAGTTTCTCCTTGGAGGCTAGGATTTTGAAGCTCTGTCTTAGACACTTTGGGCACATGTTCAGGAGGGACTGGCCCTTGAAGAAGGACATCATGCTCAGAGGAGTGGAGGGACAGCACAGAAAAGGAAGACCTCACTCAGATAAGATGGATTGATACAACAATTGGGGCAATGGAGGTAGGTGTGCCAGATTCAGTGAGACTGGCTCAGGAAGGGCAGATTTCAGAGCTGCTTGTACATAGTGTCGTTATGAGTCACAGGTGACTCAACAGAATGTAACAATAATTTTATCAAAATCTAAATAAAAGCACACAGGAATAAGAGAGAATAAAAATTGGTAGTTACTAGAGATACTGAAGAGCAACAATGTCAGTCTGGAGACTAAGGTGCGCTTGCTACAGGCCATGGTCTTTGGAATTACTTGCTATGCATCAGAGAGTGGACAGTGACTAGGGATGATAAAAGGAGAGTTGATGCCTTTGAGCTCTGTGCTGGAGAAGAGTGTTGAATATGCCATGAATTGCTAGGAGAACAAATATGTTCAACCTGGAGAGGGTGAAGCCAGGCTGCTCTTTGGAGGCAAGGATTCTGAAGCTCCATCTGACATACTTTGGACATGTTGCAAGAAGGGATCAGTCTTTGGAGAGGGACATCATGCTTGTGAAGATGGTGGGAAAGCACAGGAGAGGAAAATCCTTGATGAGATGGATTGATTCAGTCACTGGGATAATGGGGACAGGCGTGTCGGAGATGATAGGCAAGAGATAAAGCAGAGTTTAGGGCTGTTGTACGTAGGGTTGCTATGAGTTGCAGGCACATAACAATAACAACAGACATATACTAAGATGGATAAGGTGCTATGAGCTGCAAGCAACTTGAGGGCACATAGCAACAACAAACAATAAGGGTTAAGTAAGACACTACCCATTAAGATAATCATTAGTACAATATCACTACAGAAAGTGAAAACAGAGAGAGGTACAGAAAGTTTCATGGAAATCAGAATTACAGGAAGGAAGTGGAGAAAATATGATTACATTGTGGGTATTAAAATTAATTTTATAGAACAAAATATGTTTGATTGATTAAATGAAAAATTAATTTGTGTTGTAAACTTTCACCTAAATCACAAGAAAAAAATACTGTTTTAAAAGAATATAACATGAATTATTACAATATAAAAACAAGAAGAAGAGTCTAATTTAAAAGTAGGTAAATTATTTGAATATGAGTGACAGGCTCATGAAATATGCTTAATATCACATCATGATATATTATTGGAGAAATAAAATCAAAGCTACACATTTGCTAGAACAACTTTAATTCAACAAGACAGCATTAAGTTTTAAAAAGGATATGGGAAAATTGCAACCTTCATATATTGCTGGTTGGAAGTATAAAATAGTACGGACACTATGAAAAAGAGTTTGGTAGTTCTTTAAACTTTTAAACATAGATTTATTATATGACACTAGCACTTTCACTCCAATCTATCCAAGAAAAATATATATTCACTCAAGTATTCATAACAATAGTATACATAGTCAATATCCAAAAGCAATGAAAATGGACATCCACTGGAGAATGTAAAAAAAACAAAATGTTTCACCAGATGCTCTGCTGGAGAAGGAGGGGGCAATCTCCTCCTGTACCAGTCAGTTCTGATTTGACAGTACACGTAAAAACAATACAATAAAAGTTTAAAAAAAAGTTTATCTACATTTATTAAACCATAAGAATTAATTTCTGATAAATGACACAAAATGGATAAACCTAAATTAAAGAAGACAATGCAAAAGGCTATAAAATATAGGTGAATATTTTTCTAAAATAATAAAAAGGTAGATTAGTATAGAGACTAAGGTGTGCCTGATCCAGGCCATGGTCTTCACAATTACTTGCTATACATCAGAGAGCTGAACAATGACTAAGAATGAAAGAAGAATCACTGTCTTTGAGTTGTGGTGCTGGAGAAAAGTCTTGAACATACCATGAACTTCCAAGAAAACAAACAGATGCACACACATGTTTATTGCTGCTTTGTTCACAACAGCAAAGAGTTGGAAACA